CCAAACCTGCGAACCCCAGGCCACCAAAGTGGAGCATGCGAACTTAACTGCTAGGCCACCGGGCCGGCCCCAGTTTATAGCTTTTTAAGAAATTGTCTGTCTGCCCCACTAGAAGTGTAAACCCCCAAGAGGAAGGGCAACAGCAGAAGCCTAGAGGGTGACAATTAAAGGGAGACCCTACAGTCAAACCACCCACATCAAACCCTGGATCTGTCACACACTCGCTGTGATATTTGAGCAACTGCCTAAGGCTGTTTGTGCCTCAGTTTCCTCATCTGTAAACTGGGATAACAGCATTCCCGTGAAGGGTGGTTAGGCAGAGGAGATGAGCTAACACATGCAAAGCCCCTGCAACACTGCTCGTCACTCAGTCAGAGGGATGTGGGGGTTAATAATGATCATTACAGGAGCAGGGACCCACTAAGGCTGCTTTACTCACCATTGTGCACACAGAACTCGGCACAGCGCCTGGCTCAACAAATATTTGCCGAATGAACAATCTCTGGTAAGCCATATGCTGCTCACATAGCTTCCTTTTGCTTTTTAAGCTTTATCAACAGCTTTCAAAAAGGGCCTAATTGATGTCATCCCGTGAATTAGGCATGGGTCATGCAGCCTCATCCCCTAGGGAATGTTCCAGAGAGTCAGCTAACACAGAGTTGCTCCAGGGAAACCTCATTTATAAAAAAGAATAAAACACGGTCCTCGTGGCTGAGCAAAGGTGAGACTCTCCACCTCAACTCCCCACCACGGGACACAGAACAGGGACTCCCGGGGCTGCAGTCAGGTCTACCCAGAGGTCCCACATGGGCCTCCCGAGCTGCGTCACAATCAATGGAAAGACCAGTGTCTATGTGGTGCATTACCACATATCAAAGCCTTTCGCATACATTACTTTATGGCACTAGGACTAAGAATGAGGCCTGAGTAGAGCTTTTCAGAAGACCTTCAGCTGCACATCACTTCTTGAAAAAAAAATGCAACAAAGTGGAGGTTAGCAAAGAAATGTCCAGCTGCCCCAGACAGCCCAACCACACCAGCGGCCAGGGTGGAGGAGGGAAGCAAGTGTCCGGGCATCCTGGTCTTGGGTCATCTCCATCCCTCCTGCAGCATCCCGTCCACCTCCCCTCCTTCTATGCCACCATGACTTCCGGTTAATGGATAGGGACACAGCAGTGGCAATGGACCAGGTCCCTTCGTTTTAATCACGGGGCCCCGAAACTGAGCAATGGAGCATCTGTGGTCACTAAACATGGATTCCTTCCCCAGGTCAAGGGACTTGGCAGAAGGGGCCGGAATAAAGTCTGAGCTTAAAACTGACCCTCAGATGTGCTGCCATTTGCAGCCTGTGCTTTTCCTTCCCCTTTGTATTTCCCAGACAGGATAAATGATCTGTTCTGTCTTACAGTCAGCACGTGGGGACGAGAGCTTCCCCATGCCGCTTATAAGGCCCAGAAGCTCTCCCACAGCTCTGACATCCCACAAGGCTCCTTCCTTCTGCCAGCAGTCCTAGACTTTGAGGAGATGCCTGCTTCGCCAGTCATGACTGGAAAGGTCCCTCTGTCACAGGCTGAGTCTCATCACCATGACAACTGGTGACAACACCATATCTCCAGTCCCCTCGAGAGCAGGACCTCAGGAGCACACTGTCACCTCTCTCCAACCTATCGACTTCTCCTTCCCTTTGGTCCCTACGTCTCCTACCCACTTCCCTGTCACCACAGTTACATGACACCAGGGAATCTTCTGGTCTTTCAGGCTCCTCATTCTCCACAGCCTTCTTTTTTTTTTTTTTGGACACAAATTGTCCCTTTTATGGCTTTCCGTTTAGCATAAATGGGTTCCCTAACGGTTAAGGAAAGAAGGCAATTAGAGACTCAAACATTCATATTCATCCATTAATAAATATTTATTGAGGGCAGATTATGCGTCAGACACTTATGAGAATTCTTCAGCCTTGGAAGGGACCAAGGACGGATTTCATCTCATGTATCCACTCCGATCCATTGGTAGCGGCTTCCTGGATGGCTGTGTTGAGAGGGATTCTGAGGCCCTTCTGGGCACAGTATAAAGAGTCTGTGAATCCAAAAAGGCTTATGCACCCCTATGTTCATTGCAGCATTATTCACTATAGCCAAGAAGTGGAAGCAACTCAAGTGTCCATCAACTGATGATTGGATCAAGAAGATGTGGTATATATATACAATGGAATACTACTCAGCCATAAAGAAGACAAAATCGTCCCATTTTCAACAACATGGATGGACCTGGAGGGCATTATGTTAAGTGAAATAAGCCAGAAAGAGAAAGACAAACACTGTAGGACTTCACTCATATGTGGAATATAAACCAACACATGGACAGAGAGAACAGTTTGGTGGTTACCAGAGGGAAGGGGGTTGGGAGGTGGGCACAAGGGGTGAAGGGGCGCATTTATATGGCGACTGACAAATAATAATGTACAACTGGAATCTCACAATGTTATAAACTATTATGACATCAATAAAAAAAAATTAAAAAAAAAAAAAAGTCTGTGATTAGCAATGCCCGCCAACCCACACAGAGTACCTTGAAGAGAAGGCATCCTCTGCTGCTGCTTCCTGCTCCCATCCCCACCCACTCCAGGTGGCCCCCAGCCCACCCCAGGGAGCCATTAGCACACCACACACTCTCCGCCTGCAGCCTCGACCGCGCCTCCTCTTGAGACATAGGAAATGTAACCAGGAGCTCAGGCTTCAGTGTGAAAAGCCTTGAGTGCAGAGCGCAGCTCCACCGCTCACAGGCTGTGTGTGCCTCCAGGCCAGACTAACCACTGGGCCTCTCTCCTGTCTGTGTAAAGCGGGGTGAGAGATGCACCTCACAGGCTGTCCTGAGGATCAGAGGTGATAACTAACTCTGAGCACTCAGCCTTCCCCTCAGGAATGGAAGCTGAGTCCTGACTAACTTGTCTCACTCCCCGGCTGACCAGCCAAGCCTGGGTTCCAGGGAGAGCTGGCCCTTTCTGGAAAGTTCAGGGAATTCTGTTGCCCTCAGAATCTCATTCTGGTCTCTGGTCCCTCTCAATCTCCAACCAGAACTTCCTGAATTCCCCTCATTTCTAGACCCTTGCAGTGGGTCACATTCCTCTGCCAACTGAAGCCCCTGACCCTCTAGTTTCTGTTCACCGGGATGAAATGTCTGTCCTCACTTCCTCCCTCCTTCCTTCTTTTTCTTCCATCCTTCCTTCCGCCCTCCCTCTCTTGCCTTCCTCCCTTCCCTCCTTCCTCTCTAGCCCAGGCTCCATGCCAGGTGCTGAGGAATCCCCGAAACAAGCCAGGTGGTCCCTTCCCCTCGGCCTGCAGTCCAGGGGTTTCTGGCCAGTGAGCAATGACCGCAGGGGAGAGCCAGGGGAGCAGAGAGCAGGGACTAAGGGAGACACCAGAGGCCTCAAAGCCAGCCTGCAGGAGACAGGAGGGCTGCCCGGAGGAAGTGGCATCCAGCAAAACAAGAAGGAAAGAAAAAGGGTCCAGGACCAGGAAAAAGAATTCCCAGTGGAAGGAATTGTGCACGCAAGGGCAGGAATCCAGGGGGAGGCAGGCTGCGTTCAGGGGGCAAGAAGCAACGTGGATTTAGCTAGAGAATGGATGGGGGGAGAGGGAAAACAGCTTCCAAAGGACCAAGCAAGGGCACATACGTCATGTTCAAGAATCAGTACTTGATCCTGAGACCCTGGGAGTCGGCCTGGTTCAAATCCAGCTCCACCACTTAGTAGCTCCGTGACCTTGGGAAATTTTATTAATTTCTCTTATGATTGATTTCTTCTTCCATAAATTGAGGATAACAGAGAGTAATGGTTTCACTGGGTTACCATGACAATTAAATGACATAGAGTCTGCCATACACCAAGCATCCGGCAAACGTTACCTTTTCTCCAACCTGGACGAGGGAAGTGTAGCGAAGATGGAGAGAAGTAGGGGAATTCCAGAGATGTTTTGCATCAACACACACTCGGTTCCAATCAGCCCCTCTCACCTCTAGCTTCTATATCTTCATCAGGAGCCCGCTCTCTGTGCATCTAGAGCCCATTTCCCCATGGCAAGGAATTTGGTCCCTACCCCGGATCCAGGACTCTGCACGGCTCCCTGTACCATTCATGTAAGATAATGAGGGCCTGACTCACCAGGGGGACCAGGAGGGACCTGGGTTCAGTGACCAGGGCCCCTGCAGCCATCCATGACTCATTCTTTCAACTACTGATTGAGTTTGCCCCTCATGGTCCACGCTATGCTCGACGCTCGTGAAGCAGACCACTAAGGCCCTTACCCTCAGGCGGCATCCTTTCCGACTGGGGAGACAATAAACGGATGAACAAACGAGAAAATGACAGGCTGTGACAAGCGCTAGAGAGGAAATTAAAAGGGTGAGGAGACAGATTCATGCGGAAGCCTTCTGGCAGGGAACTCAGAGACGGCCTCTGCGGTGGAGACACTGGGTTAACACTGGAATGTGGGAATGGACAGGCCGTCGGAAGAGCTGGGAAATGGCGTTCCAGGCAAAGGAAATAGCGGGTGCAGAGCCCAGGGGTGGGAAAGACGAAGTGGAGGCTAACGTATCTGAAGAATCCTGAGCAGAGGGTGGGGTAGGAGGTGAAGAGGCAGGAGCGGTGGGCGGAAGCAAGTCTCACAAGGAGCGTGGCTGAGCTCCCAGGCTGAGTTTTATTCTGATGCTGATGGAAAGCTGCAGGAGGATTTTAAGCAGGGGAAGGACATGACTGATCCATGAAGCCAGACACGGGTCCTGTGAGTACAGGACTTTGTTTTCTTGTGTCCCAGCCCCTAAATGAATTTTGATAAAGGCTTGTCTGGCAGTTTGTGGAGAAAAGACTAGAAGAATCACTGAATGTACATCCTAGAGCCTATAACATAATACATTCTCATCAAATACTCAAACATTATTTCATAAGAAAGAGACAGCAGAGACAGCAGGAGGGAGCATTCACTTTCGTAAGCTCAATAACTCACATGGACCAGACATCGATTTTGGGGCCATATTTCTTCCTGGCAAGAAGCTCGGGTGCCGCGTAGGCAGGGCTGCCACACTGCGTGCTGAACGGGTCGGAGTGGCCCAGGATCCCCGCGCAGTTGCTCAAACCAAAGTCTGCAAAGAGGGGAGGACAAAACCGGCTCCGAATTAGAAAATTGCAGAAATGAAGAAGAAGAAAAAAAAAAAGGCAGCAGGAAAGGAAACATTCTCTCAGGCTAACACATCATTTAACGTCCAAAAGGAACACCAGCAGCTGCGAACCATAACCCCTGGATATGGGTCTCAAGACAAAAGAATGTCAGGCAGTGGTTCCTTTGCTTAACTGGAAACATTTATATCAGGCCTCACTGTAAAATCCAGCTAGAGCTAAAAGTATGTTGAACCAAAACATATTTTCATCCAATCTTGGAAATGAGTCATCCAGGAAAAAGAGAGGCTTTGCTTTCTAGGACTAAGGCAGGAAGAGAGAACATGCGGAGGGCCGTGGAGTCAGCGTTCTGGCTTCCAAGTGGCCCAGTGGGGAAAAGCCGAAGGAAGATTGATCTTCTCTGGCTGGTGTCAGCGTCACCCCAGGTGACATGCGATCTCACCATTTAGAGTTGACTTTTTCAGCTGAATGTTTTCATTTCATGCAAGTCTCTTAAAAATGCTCCCAATGCATGTGGCAACATATGGTGATTTGAAGAGGGGGAAGAAATACACCCAGTGATTTAGACAACGCTGAATGTTGGCTGGAAAAATAACGCCAGAAGGATAGCAATGAGAACTAGGCTAGGTGACCTCATAGCAAAGCTTTGTTCTTTGATGATTAAGGCAACTAGGAATAGGAAAGAAGAGGCCAGGTACCTAAAGGTATGCTGGGTCCATCATGCTTTTTGTGCTGTGTTTACTTTTGATCGTCAAGATACTGCAACTGACAGGTAATCAGAGAGCTGTTAGGGTAATATTCTCATCTGATATCTTTCCTCAATCTTTGTTGATCTCAGAATTAAGATCAGGGCTCCTCCTTTGAACTTCAATGTAAATATTATGGTTCTAGTCCCCAAACAGAAGACTCAGCCCAGAGGGCTCCATCAGAAAGGGGCTGTAGTCAGAGACTGGCTCCACGTCTTGAACAAAACTCTCGCGCTTTCTCAACTGGCAGGATTTACATCTAATTTCATCACTGTGTTTTTTTCTAACATGTCTCCACCTGCAAAGTGCATGACTATTGTGAAAGCTGGAGGAAGGCTCAGGAAAGTAGAAACACAGAATGGAAAGAGCTGCAAGGCCATGAAGTTGCTCCATGAGTCAAGACACACCACTAAAAATCCTCCAAACAGTCGTTGGGTTAAGCTGTAAATGAAAGAGCTTTTCTAAATTGAACCCCATCCAAGCAGAGCTCTGAAAAGTCTTAAAGGCTCTGAGGATCACCCAACCCTTCAGCTTAGGCTTAGAGATGAAGGATCAGAATGTACACGAGGGACTGGCAAACCAACTGGGCACGCTGCACGTTCACACATTCAACTCTGAATTTGTTTCGTTTTAAGATTCTTTTTTTTCTCTCATAACCTACCTCCTCCTCTCTTCCTCTGCTCCCTCATTCCATCCCCGCCTTCATCTGGCCCCTTTTCCTTTCTCAGAAGAAGGCCCTTCAAGAGCCACGAGGCTCTGAGATTCCTATCTTAGGAGGCGATCTCTGTTCAGAAGGATCTGAGGGCCCCTGTTCTCAGGCCCCACCCTGGAGAATCACTGACGTGGGAGAAGGTGGATGGGGGGTGAATATTTTTATAAGATGAAAAACCACATTGAGCTTTAAATTGGATGGCCGTTTACATGCTTTCCATTTGAAAATCAACCTAAAGGAATTTTAACGAAACAACAAATGCATGAAGAGCATCCACATGGTGAAATGGAAAGAGCCCCATGGAATTAAGGTTATATTATTTGGGGCAACATTTTAAGGAAAGTTTCATAAACAGTCATGTTAGGGGCCCAACCTCCTAGGAGTCCCAGAAAACTTCTCTCTAGATTTCTGAGATTAAAACAAAAGACTCCGTTCCTAATCGCTGTGGGGTTCTGTTAACAGCCAAGGACGGCCTCATTCAGTGCACTTCCTCAGCTCCTGGATGCCGTCTATAACGAAGTGCTTAATCGAAGAGGGCAGGGCGAGGGGAGATAAGAGACCAGATCACCCCCTTTGCTCCCAGGCAAGCTTGAGAACACAGTGTCTTGCCTTGTGTTAAGCACAGTTTCAAGAAGATAAATCAGCAGAGGATCTGAGGAATGGAGGAGATAAAATCAGCCTTTTAAGTGACTTATGTTGACCTAGCCGAAAGGGTTTAATTTAAAATATACTGTAAAGAAACAACCAGTATGTGTCACATCCGAATATGTAATTATTAAAATTTCACACATAAGCCCATAATTAGGATTGTGAAACTAGAGAAAAGTTCGCCTCCCAGTCATGTCACCCAGGTCTGCCTCAATTCGATTTGGTAGACACATAAGCCAATTATCACTCAATTTTCTGCGAGCTGCAAAATGAATCTCAAAGAAGGAAGGCCCAAGTGAATGCTGCTTTGGAAAACTGAAGTGCCACACTGTTCTACGTTGCGACTCTTACATTTTAAGATTATACTAAACTAAAAGCATCAGACTGGTTTTTATTTTTTTGAAGGAAAAAAAAAAATCCTGATTAAATCAAATCTTACTTCCGGTTAATTCTAGTTAATTTGAAACATGGCTTAAGTAAATTTATTTAAATCAAATTATTTCTAAGAAAGAGAAATGATTAAGAGGAAATGGTAATGGCTATAATCAATCTTTGAAAAACAACTAGGTAATTCCTTTAAAGAAAAGGTTCAAAGGGCTTTCAAGTTGCAAAAAGACGGTGGTAGAGACATCGGATCCAAATTGCCTAACCCAGGGGCAAGAAAACCCACAAGACACGGGGCCTACCTTCCTTCCAGCATCTTCCCTTCCCTCCTCCAGCCTACCCTGTATGAAAAAACGAGGAAATGCAGATTCTGCTCAACAAAATCCAGTTCCCAGTTGCCCTGTGGGATGGTACAAGGTCTCTTTTGATGATGAAGATGTGAGTGAGGGCTCTTTGGTTTGAGCTGGTCATGAGAGAACTGGGAGCCACATGAAAAGTTCTAACAAAGGGAAATCCAAAGATCGGCGCCTCCTTTCCTGCAGTTTTGGGAATTCTGGTTTCTGACATGGCCCCATTTTGACCCAAGGAGCTGAAAGGCTGCTCGGGTCCCAATCCAGAGGTTGCCACGCCGAGAGGCGATGATTCTGAGGCATTTGAATAAAATGGTTCCTGGCATCCAAAGAGCCACTCCCCTCACCTCAAGGGGAACCGTGGGCTCTAATTCAGGTGTATCATTTCTTCATCTGATTTGTACAGGTCTTCTCTAAGAGGGTTTATTATGCGGCCAATCTGGTGAGCTACTTATAAACGCATGCCCTGTTCACAGAGATTGGTTCTTCCAGAATGTTCTGAGCAAACTTCCCACCAATAAAAAGGCCTGGGGTTTTCAACATTGTCTATTCCACAGTCCATTTCTAGTTTTATGAATGGTTGTCTAGGGCTATCACTTGAGGAGAGAGAAGAGAAGGGAAGAAGTAGTATGGGTGATGCTGAACTGGCATATGGGAACTACCACCAGTGGACTGCACTGTGCTAGAATTACCAGCCTCAGTCTAGAGATGCACGGTGGAAGTGAACTCTTCTAACTTTTACTGTCACGTACATCCGGCCTTCACACAGCCTGTCCTCTGACTATCTCTGCAGCTGTTAGGGCAACTCTGTCCCTGTCACCTCCACGTTTTCCAAAGACAAGTGACAGGTCGGCCTGCCAGGGAATCTAAAAAACAACCTCCTTTCCTCCATTCCTCGCCCCACCAGGACGCTTCTGTGTTTGAGGCCACAGATCCCAGGAACAAGGACCGGAAAGACACCCTGCAGGCATGTCAACATCCCCCTTGTTTAACGCTGCTGTAATTGGCTCTCAGGACAACTAAGATGCAAAAGTGAAACAATTTGATAAAAAGAAAATTCTTTGAATTGTCCAAGAATCTTCTAAGAATACACTCTTTAAAATCTTTCAGAGAAAAAAATGGGTTTCGTCTTAATTGTTACTCTTCTCATAATGGGCGTATCCATCACCACCTGTCAATGGTGCTGACTCACCCAGCCAAGGGGTCTCGAGGCCCTCAGCCCCTTGCCTGTTACTGGGTTGGGAGCCGACTGTGATTACAAAGAATCTAATTGGTCATTTGAATGATATGTTTTAGTGAGTCTTGAGATGGTTTTCAGTATTTGCCAAACAAAATTTCCTTCTTAGATAGGAAAGTTAAATTCACAAAATTCTACTGATCCTTCTCTTTTCTCCTAATATAAAGTCTTTTTCAAGCCATTGAGGTGGAAGAAATTACTTGCACTTGAGGTGGGAAAAGAAAGAAAAGACAGGAGTAAAAGATGGTGCTAACATCTGGGTGTAAAAATGATGCCCTGAGATTTTGCCAAGAGCAACCACATCGACACCACATCGACAGACAAAAATTGAATTCTTCTAAAGAATGAGCCACGGAGTGAATTCACTTGTAGACCCTGAATTATGAACCAATTATGACTCATTCTATCCTGGAACTTCCCTCTGATTGGTAGAAACTTCTAAATCATCCCTCTGTGGGGATTTCTCTCTGCACAACCATCATTGCTCTACCGGGCTTGAATAAAGATTATATTAAAAAGAGAAGGTAAGATGCTTTCTTCCTACATGGCTATGCTAAGGGCAGCATTTCTGAACTAAATTATTTTCCACTACTTTTAAGATGTTTTTGGTTAATCCAGATAAAAATAATCCCTATAAAAGTTCAGCTCCATCTGAATTTTTAGAGAGGCCGAAGTTTGAATCATCTAAAGAACATGTAACCAGCAAATACTTATCTGGGGCTGTGAAATTCATTTTATGCTCACTTTACAGTATTTTTACCTTCCTAATTATGTTTAAATTATTACTAAAATTAATTTTCAGTTTCAAAACCATTGTTAAATATTGGAGGTAAACGGAGGTGATCTAGAAGTATTGCCTGGGGATTAGAAATAGACCACGGATAATTTTCAAAGCCAATAATCCAGAACTAAATAACTGAGAATTGACAACACAACACTTAAAGGATAATCTTGCTTTAAAAAAAAAAAAAAAAGTCATACCAATCAGCTTGATATTATTGTCTTCATCTAGTAGCAAATTTTCTATCTTCAAGTCTCTGAAATAAACAAAACCACACAACATTTCAGATAGGCATTTGAAATAGCGGAACAACATTTTGCTTCTGAAGGGAACCAAACCGTTTTAGAGCCACTTTGAACCAACCCATAAGGCTTTCTGCCAAAACTCAAACAATCAATAAGTAAATATTGATAAAACATGATGAAATTAATTGCCCCAGACTAAAGAAGATGAAGGATTTCAGAGAAGATGGAGAGTGATGAGGGCACAAAGTTTCCAAATCATGAGAAGTTTCTGGAAGAAGTGGGAGCAAAGCTGAAACCCGGGAGTTAATAGAACTGGGGTTTGGGGGGGCCAGCCCGGTGTCGAAAGCGGTTCAGTGCGTGCGCTCCACTGCGGCGGCCCGAGGTTCGCCAGCTCGGATCCCAGGCGCGCACCAACGCACTGCTTGTAGAGCCACGCTGTGGCGGCGTCCCATATAAAGTAGAGGAAGATGGGCACAGATGTTAGCTCAGGGCCAGTCTTCCTCAGCAAAAAAAAAAAAAAAAAAAAGAACTGGGGTTGGAAGAGAGGGGAATACATCATTCAAAACAGGAGCTGCCCAAACAGTGGGAGAAATACAAATGTGGCCATATGTTTGTGAGATAGTGAGCAACACTAGCCAGAGGAGGGAACAGATTCGGGGAAGCAGATTAAAAAAAAATTGAAAGCTGGTATAATTGATCAGTCCTACAACCTCCATGCTTGGAGCCCAAGTGTCATCCACAAATTGGCAGGTGATAATAAATTAATCTATTTAGCAAGCAGAAATTACGGTGGGCAGAAAAATAGACCCCAACAATGTCAATGTCCTAAGCCTTGATATGATGCCTGAGTATATGTTAACGTTACATGACCAAAGGGAATTAAGTTGGCAGATGGAATGAAGATTGCTAATCAGATAATGGGTGACTGATCACTGACACTGAGGTAACTGAGGAGGTGGGAGGGAGAAAAACACTTGGGCTCATGCTGAGTGTGAGGTGCCCTGTGGTGTCTGTTTTAGTCAACAGTTAGCTCCTCAAAGGCAGGAAACATGTCTGCCTTGCTTACCACTGTACCCCAGGACCTTTGCACATTCCAGGTACTCAGTAAATACCAATGAATCTACATTACCAGAGAGATCATTTTGGATTTCAGAAGAAAAAGTGTGGGCAAAAGGGTATATTTGGTCATCAAAACCATCTAGGCCCAGCTTCTATTTTCCTACTTTTGAATAGAGACATGGGCAAAAGAAATCTTTTTCTCCTCTTATCTCAACTGTAAGGAATAGAATTGCATAATCACGATAAACAAAAATGGCAACTGATAACACCAAGTTGAAGTCGTGAGACAAAAGGGAGAGTTGCGAGGACTATGGCAAACAGGAGAGCAGTGTCCCATTCAACGGGGACAGTCACTCACAGCTCGGTCCCAGCACTGCCCGCTCATCCCTTTTCCCAGAGAAGCCAGAAATCTGGATTCAATCCCAATTTTTAAACGTTGGCAACAAATTCATATTTAAAACAACAGTAACAACCACAATGCATGGGCCAGCCTTGCAGGCAAGCTATGACCTACAGACAACCAACTATCAACCTCAATGCAGTGGCACCTGAGCCTTGAAAAGACATGAGATGGCCCAGGGAGAGGGGAGGGAATGAGGGGCATAAAGACCAAGGACGACACGCTGCCGATGGGGGACAATGACATCAGCCGACTGGGAAGGAACAGTTGGGGAAGCTGTTGTCATAGGAACGCCAAAGGGCAGCATTTCAGGATGGGAGGGAGAGTTAAGGAGTCCAGTACAGAAAAAAGGTGCCCTCTGAAAAGTGACCCATGGATTTCAAAATTGGAAGGTGAGAGGAAGAATTATACACCTTCACTTCAATTCAAATGAAACAATACAGAGTATTTAAAAACTGTGTCAGCCTTTAAAAGGTATCGCTTATGTCCAAATGCAGGGTGACCCCAAATACAAGGGGATCCTCCCCACTGTTCCAGCAGGAAGACCCTACCCCTCAGAAAAAGGTTTTTGGACACAAATATATAATTTTGGGAAATGCAATGGAATTATCAAGTGATTAGTTATACTATTGATCTAGGAAGCTGCACCATCCTATTTAAGAGCATATACTATAATGTTAATATAATTAATTTTAGAAATATTGTTCCCACACCCTCACATGTTGTGAAACAATTTTATTAAAATTTGTCACAGACAGAAGCAAGATGACAGAGTCATCGTACGGTGTTCCCAGCATAACATGATCTTTAAGTCGGCCAGATATTTGAGATAAAGCACTTTTGGCATCTGTGTTTGATGCACTTGCTGGAAATATTATCCGAAGCCATTTAAATAATAAGCACCCATTTAAAATCTCTATAAATTAGCCACTCAGTGAATTGTTTTTAGAGGGCTCTCACAAGTCCTCACAATTGTGAGCTCATATCTCTAGAAGCTATTACAAAAGCCGTGTAAAATGTCTTTGCCTCCCTTTCAATCAGTTTCCAAGAGTTCCCAAAGTCATCAGTGAGTCAGGTCAAGGTCAACGTTTCTTCTCCAACTAGTACTTTGCCGTTGAAAATAAAATAATTGAGATTGTGCCCCCATAAGAGGAGAGACTTTGCAAGGACTCTGTAAGGCACTTCCTCTTTGCCAAAAATAATTAGGATATAGTATAATCCTGAGCTTATAGTCAAGCTCATATGGTAATTTCAAAACACGTGCATAACACCCAAAACTGTGTGCCAGCAACAGCCCAAACTGTAATTCTGCGAAAACTGATTATAAAGCAGTAGCACTACTCAAATCTAAAGGAAGGCCACAGTTTGTTTCCAGCAAAATTAAATGTCTCTCCCAGGGAGGAATGGAAGCCACACTAAGGCGTTAAAGGAGAAATTCAGTTAAGAACAAATACTGTGGAGAAAAACAGCTTCCAGTGGGGAGGTCAAAGAAAGCAATTGTCAAGAATAATAGGGGCCGGCCCCGTGGCTTAGCGGTTAAGTGCGCACACTCCGCTGCTGGCGGCCCGGGTTCGGATCCCGGGCGCGCACCGAGGTACCACTTGTCCAGCAGTGCTGAGGCCATGGTCCCACATACAGCAACTAGAAAGATGTGCAGCTATGACATACAACTATCTACTGGGGCTTGGGGGGGGTGGGAATTTGAAAAAAAAAAAAAAAGAATAATAAAACTAAGCTGGATAATTCTGGGGCCACAAAAGCCTACAGAACAACCACGATAATTAGACGAAAGATATAAATGGAAGACTAAAAATAAGAGAAAATGCAAAAGAAAAAAACACCCGCTTGTAAAATCGGGAAAATATCATAAAACCAGGGGAGAAAGTTTAAAAATGTAATTATTAGGCAAAATGAGAAAAATCAAATCAGTTAAAAGTCACTGTCTTTCCACCCACTGCATCCATAGACACCCACCCCAGCCCCCAGGAAAAATGATCAGAACAAACCTGGCTAACAGGGATGGTTTACAAATTTATTACCTTTTTGTTAAGGTTTCTAAAAGATTTCAGTGATAAGCAATCTTACTGCCTACAGGTTTCATGACTAGTTAATGGAAAGCTGAGCTACACTAGTCTCTGTCCAGAAGACTGTACCTAATTTACCCAAATGAAGGGAACATTCGACCTCTTTTGGCTTCATTTATGTCCACCTCCTGCTTTGTCTTTTGAGACTTAACTAGAAGGAGGAGGAAAATACTTTCTTCCGACTTCTTAGGAAAAAAGGCTCTAAAATCATATTTTTAGAAGTAGTTTTTGCCTAGGTATTTACCCAAATGAATTGAAAACTTATAGATACAAAAGTTTATAGCAGCTTTATTCATAATTGCCAACACTTGGAAGCGACCAAGATGTCCTTCAGTAGGTGAATGGATAAATAAACTGTGGTACACCCAGACAGTGGAATATTTTTCAGTGATAAGAAGAAATGAACTATCAAGTGATGAAAAGCCATGGAGGAATCTTAAATGCATGTTTCTAAATGAAAGAAGGCGGTCTGGAAAGGCAGCATACTGCATGATTCCAACTACATGACATTCTGGAAAAGGCAAAACTATAGAGACAGTAAAAAGATCAGTGGATGTCAGAGATTTTGGGAGGAAGGGGAGGATGAACAGGTGGAGCACATTTTTCTGGGGCAGTGAAACTACTCTTTACGATACTGTCATGGTGGCTACACGACATCAACAATTTGTAAGCATCTGTCAAAATCCGTAGAACTATACAACACAAAGAAGGAACCCTAACGTAGACTATGGACTTTAGTTAATAACAATGTATCAATATTGGTTCATCAATCGTAACAAATGTTCTACACTCTCACAAGATATTAATAATAGGGAAAGCAATGTGGAAGGGAGGTGAGGAAGTATGTGGAAATTCTGTAGTTTCTGGACAATTTTTCTGTAAACCTAAAACTGCTCTAAAGAATAGTCTATTGAGCCAGTCCTGATGGCCTAGTGGTTAACATACGGTCCTCTCACCGCTTCGGCAGCCCGGGTTTGCTTCCTGGTCACCGAATCACACCACCCATCTGTCAGCTGCCATGCTGTGGGGGCAGCTCACACAGAAGAACTAGAAGGACCTACAACTAGGATATATGACCATGCCCTGGGGCTTTGGGGAGAAAAAAAAAAAAAAAAAGAGGAAGATTGGCAACAGGTGTTAGCTCAGGGCAAATCTTTCCCTGCAAAAATAAAATAATAAAGTCTATTAATTTTTTTAAAGTAGCTTTTGGATATTTTTTCCTTTCCTAAGAGATGAGTATTAGTTATGGCTACAACCAAGAGCCTCACTCAGGATGTTCATTGTGGAACATCCTTACCACCACAAGTCCATTCAGCACAGTGGGCCACTCAGACCCTCTGCCCAGCTACTCAACAATGACCAAAGAGGTCACAAACGATCCCAAGAAACCACAAAATTGAGAGACACCTTCTTGAATAATAACAGAAGGATGAATTTATTCAGAAGGTTTTAGTGTTAGTGTATTACA